GCGTGGTGCGAGACACCGGAGTCGTGATAGGCAGTCAAATGCACTGGTCGCGTGTTGAGCCGGACGGTTGCAAGTGTCATCAGTGTCGGCCAGAAAATTTGGGGAAGAATGGAAGACAACAACAACAGCACACTGGCGGAACTGCGGCTGAAGTGCGGAGAGCTGGAGTGACGCACTTCAGGCGTGATAACGGTGGTCACATTGCATCTGTGTGCACGAGATGGGTATCAGCGGCTGCGAGCGGCAGCATCAGCTGCATGTAGAAGCGAGTTGATTTGTGTGATTCAACAGTGACAGTATCGGGTGAGCCCTTTCCAATTATTCTTTGATTTGGGAGCTGAATTGGCTAAAAGATGGGAATAGAGATGTGTTTGATTGCAGTGTTGTTTGCACATCTGCCTTCCCATTGGCGAGCCCTGTGCTACGATAGGTTGTGCTTAGACTATCGGAAGCAATATTCGAAAATGGTTTCGGACAGTGGCCTTTGCCGCTTATGTCAGACCCTGTGAAGGAAAAATGTTTCTGTTGAAAAATAATTAATTTAAAAAAATTACGAGTTGCCGTCTGTTTGGTCTGCCGTGCCGTTTGGTTTGAAGAGTGCATCTTCTACCTTCATCATGCAATTGTTAAGGCGTTTGGAATTTATCATGATTATTTGCGATAGTTTACATAGATGACGTGTTAATCATGGCAAACTCGGAAGAAAAGGCTTTCCGAAGGCTGAAGGTTTTATTAAATGTGTTGACTGTACCAGAGTTGCCATTTAACGTTACCAAATGTGGGTTTCTTGAACCTACTACGCAGTATCTGAGCTATGAGGTGTGCGGTGGAGAAATCAGACCCAATTCCTAGAAAATCCTTACGTTAAAGGTCCGTCCTTTTAATCGGTGCAATTAAGAGACCGTCGTAAGACCATTTATTGAATTGGTGCCTTATTTTCAAAAACGTGTGCCTCGATTTTCTCAGATCATGAGACAGATTCTTCGGCTTCAAGTATCTTTAAGTGAAATGACGATATTCAGAAATTGGAACGAACGTTTTTAATATTATTACAAATGAGCCTGTAATCGTTATTTGTGGGTTCGAAACATCTGATCAAATTTGAAACAGATATAAGCTCTTGTGGATATGGTCCAATGCTAATACACCTAATTAATGGAGACCCTTATGTTGGTGGATATATTGGTAGAACTATGTGTCTTGTGGAGTCCAAGTAGCCTTTGTATGAATTGGAAATATTGGTTGGCGTGCAATTATTCTGACATTTTTGGCATTGTTTGCTCAGATGAGAGTTTGTAGTCTATACTTATTGCAGATGTAATCATTTCTAAACAAAAAAAAAATTAACTGAAGTGCATCATAGAGTAGAGGAAGAGAAAGCGCAAGGCAATTGTGGAATTCTTTTTGTGTCCAGAATTCACATGACTGATTTAACTCCGATAAATAAAAATAAATTGACAGAAAAACGTCTGAACTTAGAATGGAAATCTCAAATGACCGACTGATCAACTTCAGGATTCAGGATTTATTGGTATATAAACAACTAAAAATAATTGAAATTAACTTGAGTTACGAAGAGGGATTTTAAAGAATACAGAGAGGTGTGAGGCAATGTTATCTGCCAGTAGTGTCCCTTAAATTTTGTTGGATAGTTATTAATCAAGGTTATAAATCCGTTATGTGTTTGGATTGGAAAAAATAGACTCAGCAATATTTATCAGAATTGTTGGAAATGACTAAGTTTAAAGATTGTTGAAAATTGTATCATGTGTAAAGTTGTAAAGTAGTCATCTGGCTGGATACCAGGACCGCAGAGGTGATGGGAAGATGCTCTTGGCGGGGTGCAACTTGCGGCGAACTGCACAGTTAGTAGTGCAACCAATGCAAGCCCTTAAGAGATGCCAATCGGACCCACCCTTTGGGCTTGATACCACCACATGACACAGAGAAAAGTATAAAGAAAGGGAAATTTAAAGTTACGTTATGCTGGTTCGGAAGAGCACTAATTTTGATAGGGCAAGATTAATTTAAAATGAAAAATGAAAATGGAAAATATGTTAAGAATGAGAGAGAAAAGAGAAAGAAATGAAGATGGAAAATGAAAATGAAGATCGGCACCAAACAGAGTTTATAGAAAAGCTTGATGGTGGCTGATATGTTTTGAGATATCTGTCAAGTAAGCGAACTTTTATAAGTATGCGCATGAGTTTTTGAGGGCATAGCCAAATAGACAAAATAAGCAATGACGTTGATTGATTAAAGATTAAAGTTGATTAAAGATTTAGACGACTCAAGTGGAGATGCGTCTGATTCCCATGTGGGGAATGATGATATGGATGGCACGGTTGATGCCTTGGAATCCCAAGAGGGGATATAAAGACCGCACCATAACAGAAGGAATTGTTATGGCGGGGGTCAGTGGAGACCGCACCATAACAGAAGGAATTGTTATGGCGGGGGTCAGTGGAGACCGCACCATAACAGAAGGAATTGTTATGGCGGGGGTCAGTATGTGGGTGTAAAAGGAAATACACCAGTTGATAAAGCTATGTAATTAGAGAAGTCTGAATTGTAAATTATGATTAAAATGAAGATGTAATTTGTTATGTTATCATGAAACCAAGATGCTTATTTTGTCTAAATGCCTCAATACTTATGTTTAGAAAATTAATGAAATGTTTGTTGACAATAAAATGTAACGAGTACCGAAATTTTAGAATACTGTGATTTAAAGTTAACACACGAGGACGTGTGATTTGTCAGGAAGGCCGTGTCGGATCACATGAAACAGGGCCTACTTTATTCCTATGGTCAGAATATGTGAAGCGGAGCCTTTTGAAATACGAAAAGAGCTTGTACTCTATGGTTTCGAAAGGTTATCCTGCCAAACTAACATTTGAAGACACTAGAAGTGTAAGCGAGAGATCGCCGACTGAGGCACTCGTTGGTGGAATCATTTATAAGGCTGTGAGGGTCCAGAGAGACCGTGACGCAAGAGGTGCGTGTGAGCGTTGCAAAGTGTGCAGCAAGAGCCTGTATAAATTGATGAAGAGATGTTGAGTAAGAGTTGTGGTACGAGCAGAGAAAGAAGATACAGATTTGGTACGAGAAGAGAATGAAGTGGCGAGAAGAAATAAAAGTAAAGCTTATTTGACATGAATAAAACAGATAAAATGAAATGTTAAGTTGAGACCAAAGAGAGAAAAAAAGAGAGAATGATAAATGAAAATGACAGTTATGTTTAGAGCTATTAGAAGACACGTCACGCGAGGACGCGTGAATTGTCAGGATGGCCGTGTCGGCGAGTTGGTTGCTAAGTGCAAATTTGGAAAGCTTGTTGCTATGGCAACAGAACTATTCGGCATGCTCAGGTATTGGTAGCCTGTAGGTGTCGCTGGCGCGCAGGCGCAATGACAGTTGAGTCGGTAACAGGAGTGTTACTGAGTGAGGTCTGTTCGTCTGTCGCAACAATAGGAGAGAATGAGAGAGACAGCTTGAGATTGTCTAGGAATGACATCTGAGTGAAAAGTAAGAAAAGGTGAAAGGGCCACAGGAAAAGTGGCGTGATGACAGATTCGATTTGACTGCGCAGGCGAACAGAACTCGCTGGCTCGACTACGGTTAAATTAAATAACGGATATCTCCGACATATATATATATTTCCACCGGAACACAGACAGTTCACAGACTCTCCGGGCGATTCATAAATAATCAAATAATCAAAATCGGGACAGGGAACGACTACAACCGGACGCGTTTGCAGTGAAGTTTGAACTAAAACCAAAAAACCACATTCCGTCTGCCAATCTAAAGGCGGCCAACAAACAGGTTCGAAGCCAAAGAGAGAGCCAGAGCCAACCAGAGAGAGAGGCAAAGCCAATGGGCCAAATAATAAACAAAACAGAAGCTGGCCAAGAGAGACAACGAACACTGAGTGCGGGGGAGAGCAGTTGAGAGGTCACAAAAATATGGTAGGTTTCATTTTTAAATACAATTTTTAATTAAAATATATAAAAAATAAAATTGGAAAGGTGTAATATTTTATAAATATTATTATTTAACACCACAAACTTGCATTCACAAGTCTTCGCCACCCTCACTTGATTCCGAAAATGTTAGAACCAGTTGGGAATTATATACGCACCCGTGTAAGATTTTCTTGGTACAAATTTAAGTGAAAATTCGCCAAGGTTTTTATGAAAAAGTGACCAGCAAAATAAGTATAATTCCTCCTTATATAAAAAAGAAATTAAATGAAGCAAATCAAATATAAAACGCCCTTAAAAAAATTAGAAAAGAACAACATTAGAAACGTAAACTCTACAAAATTATATTCATGTCTTAAATTAAGGTTTCCTTTCTTTAATTGTATAAAACCTCTTCCTAATTGTTTCTAAATTGTATTTAAATTAATTAATTTAATTTAAATATAAAAAAAATATTTTTATAAGTGCACTTAAGAAAAATCTGGCAACTCTTGCGCCGCCTCTACCGCATTTCCAAGCAACTTGTGTGCTGCCAACATGTTGGCCAGCAGCACTAAAAACTAAAAACTACAACAAAATCACAAAAAACTATGCAAACCTGGCAAACAATGAACATTCTCTAGTACTTATTAGATGGTAACTACCTCAACCGAAGCCAAATTGGCGTCTGACAGGGATTTTCTAAAGTTTTTCGGCTGCCAAATCATTCAAAAAAGAACGTGGAATTGTCATCGAGCCTGCCAATTAGCCAAGAAAATGCAACTGCCAACTGGCAACAGCCAAGTTAGCTGGGCCCCCGCAAAAAAATGGCTCGATTAGGCAGGCAGCCGGTCACCTCAAAGCCTAATTGAGGGCCTCCACTACTTAGACCCGGTGATTATGTACGGGAAAATAGAGATAACCCTGGACTGAAATAGGTGAGAAGTGCAACCAGAGGTAATTTTAGGCGATTAAGGGCTTTGAAGGTGAGGAGATGTCAAGGTTGTACTGGGGTTAAAAACATAAAAGAAAAACTGTTTTCTATTTGTAGTTTATTATTTATACAGGGTACTTCTTGAATGCCTGTGAAAATATTTACAAATCCTGTACTGTAAAAATCCTAGTTTAATATTCAAAAGGAAAATTTAGAGCTTCTCCTGGCCAACTCCCTGCAAATCTACAACTTCCAGTTGCGGGAGGTTGAGTTATTTACGCGTTTGCGTACATCATTCTGACGCGGATTTGAATTTAAATCAGTGGGTGAAGATCCCATCGGTCTGGGATTAGGGTTAGTCAAAGCCGGAGAACGCTTCAACGGAATTTCCTTTGGAGAAGTTTGAGGTCCGTTGTTTGTTTTTGAATTTAAAACTGGGATCCTTGTTTTCCTCATCTGCTTGGGTCTAGTTTCCCTCTGATTAGTCGGTGTCACACTTTGCGGCTGCTGCGAAGGGCTTGGTATTTCGGTTTCAGGTGGGTTTTCGTCTTGAATTAAAGCACTTTGATCGGATGTGTCTGCAGGCTCGGGGTCATAAATCACTTCAGGCAAGGCTACTTCAGGCTCGGGAACCAAAGGTGCCAACTCTGCCACAGGCAAGACTTCCGCAACAGGATTCTCTTGTACCTTTTCACGCTTAATATGCAGAAAATCACATCACAACACAAATATCTTTTTACTTTTGGTTTTTAACTCACTCTTTGCCATTTACTCTTCAAAGAAAGTATCGCCTTTACACCGAGGCCAATCAGTAAAAACGATATAACCATTTGAAAAGCTGGGTGTAGCCCCAAGATGAATCTCCATATATTGAGGCCTTTCAAGACAATCCAACAACATGATTGCCATCTATAGCATAGTGGCGATATCTTTATCGAAGTATCTACATCAAGATTCTGCCGAAAAAACCACATTTTATTGTCGATTTAGATAATTCGAAATTTATTTTTGTTTGTAAATTTCCTACAAAAAGCCGTTCAACCAAAACGTAGAAGGGACAGACAACAAATCCTCCGATTGCTAGATCAAAATTATTTACATGTCTCTTTTACTTGAAAATTTTAAACAATTCCATTGTCACTTTAAGATTTAAATCTCTGGGCTTTTCCCACCATTTTCTCACCTAATTGTTCTCAGTTCTTTAGGGGGCTGGGCATTTTCCCCTCTCGATTTCCCAGCGCAGCTTTTGCGTTGAATGCCAAGTGCAGCGATAGGGAAAAACGTGTTCCCAGCAGATGAGCAAAAACAAAGGCATTTTGCATGACAAATTCAAGTACGGCGAAGAGTTGCAGTGGCTTCAAGAAGAAAAAAAAGATATATATATTTAAGGAGAGGCTATGGGAACAACCAAGGTCTGGAAAGCTGACAGAGTATCCCACAGTTTATGGCCTGCGTGGGGTTAACTGATTTGCACACGCCTTGAATGCAGAGCAAAAGTAATTAACTTTGCAGATTTCTCGCATTGTTTTAAGGGTTGTCACTTTACAGAGATGGTTAGATTTTTTGGATTGATAAAAAAGTGTATACTATATTATACAAAAAAATTATAAATAAATCATATTTTGTTAGAAATATATTTTTATAATAATAATATTAGGTTTTCCAAGTAAAAAATCAGCTGAAATTTTATAGAAACTTCTTGTAAATGATAAATAATTTAGCTTAAATACTCGTAAGCCATAATATGCTTCAAAAACTTTCCCTATATCTATGAAAATATATAACCCATTCATATAAAAATCTCTTCCACATCTCTAGATCTCGTTTTGGGTCAAATTATTATTTTTGCGACTTGACAAAAGTGCCGGCCTAAATTCTGAAGAGTAAACAATTGCCGCAAGTTAAACCTGTTTCTGGACCCTCTCACTTACTTCACTTCCTCTGAGCGCTTGAGCGCAGCAAAAAAAATAAATAAATTCCGATGGCATGACAGCCCCAGAGAGTTGGCAAAACTTTTGCGAGCCCACCAGTCAAGAGGGAAGGAGTTGGCCAAGAAGAATGGTAAGAAAACTGAGACCCGCATCTTCTACCTTCAACCTTTTCACTCGGTTCAGTTGAAAAAAATAATATAAAAAAGCGGACAAACCACTTTTGGTCACAGGAAACACGGTCCCCGTTTGACAAGCAGAACTAGCAAAGGAAATTATATAAATATATATACACTTGCAGATCCCAATCTCAGAGCTCTCATAGGTTTCATCCTAAATCTCTAGCCATTTATCAGATATATTTATTTGACTCTGTAACGGTCTGACTTACAATTAAGCCCCGAAAAGAAGTCAGCAATTTAAGTTGGTTGTAACTTTTATGACAGCCAACGCTAGCAATAAACATAAACTTTGGGAGGGGAGGGGATAGTGGCTCTTGAAAATGACTCAATTGAACATTCGGTTGTACAACAATTGAAATTTGGGGGAAAAAGATGGCAAGAAAACTGATAACTATGTAGTTTTTGGGTAGAGACGAAAATAGGCAATTGAGGAAACCAAATAATGGAAAATTGGGGAAATATATGAGGAAAATATATAACTTGAACAAGCCAATTATAATTGATAATAATAAAGCTGAGTTATAAATTGGTGGCTAGATTTCGGTTAATTGTGGCAAAATAAAAATGAAAGCAAGATATATAAAAATATCTTAATTTAAGCATTAATTTTAAGCCTAACAAGATACTGAAAATTATAAAAACAAATAATTCTCAAAAATATTATTCTAATCCCAAAGAAATTTGTAAAATATTTCATGAATACTAACCAATATATTTCTTAAGTAATTATTATATTTACAGCATTTTAAATCAAGTTTATATACAAATATTAAAGCCAAAACCAAAATGAATCAAATATGAATGTTAGGGTATATTTATGAGGTTCTACACGAAAACCCAAACGAAAATATATATTTTTGAGATGGCTTACTGTCTCATGGATCCCCAACGACGCTGGGATAAACTATCAGAATTGCTGTAAGAAAAATGTATATCAATTTTTGGCAACTATATTTTCAAAAATAATGCCTTTAAGACAATTAATTTTAAATTAATTAATATCAGCCTTGTAAAATTCGGAAATTCGGAAATTCGGAAATATTAATAAAAAATAGGTTAAAAGTGCATAATAAAATTATAAAATATCGTGTTGACTTTTAATAATTAATTAGTTAATTATAAGATTGTGCACACTTGTGATCCTTATATTTTTGAGTAGGTGACAGACAACACTATATCTTAAAATTAATAAAATATGTATATAATTCTGTGTTATTCTTTAAATAGATTTGTAAAATCAAATCAAAAATATTTAATATTTTCCTTAGTGAATACGGATATTTTTATGAATATAATTTAAAGATCGTTCAGGCTCTAAAGCCGAAATATTTTTATAACTTAGTAGGTGTCATCACGGTATATCTTAAGAGAGTGATCCACTCGTGACTCTCTTAACGTCAGATTCCCTCTTTCGCGATCAGGTGAATTCCCAAACTCACCACACACATTGTGTGTTGAACAAAGGCGGAAACAGACGGTGTGCAGCGGGAAAGAGACGCACAATGTCGGTGCGATAGAGAGGCACTGAGAGATCATGCTTGGCGATCCACTGAATGCGATGTGAGAGATTCCGAAGCCCCGAAGACCGAGACACCACCACGCATGGGGAATGAATCACGGCCCAAAGCGGAGTTTCTTCTACAGAGCATAGAAAAAACTGGTTTCTGGCCTGGGCCTGTGTATGCATTATTTTTTTTTTTTTTGAACAAACACACACAACCTCAGGCTTACATAAAGAAAAGGTTAACTATTCAAATTTGGTTGTTGTTGTTGTTGATGATGTTTTTTTATGATTTTACGGACAGACAAATTGAGAGTTTTTGATGAAGTTTTTGGGCCTGGTCAGCATAATGTCCAAACCGGGTATTACGTGTGTGCAAATAACCTTACGAATGCCTGACAGCCATGGAAATTTGCATTCGCATCGATTTCCTTTTTTGGGGAAGTGAGATTTCTTACCTGGTGGGAGTTCGCCTCAAGCTGCGCCGGGCCCAATTGTCTCGGGGCATTATGTTCAGTTCGTCATCACTGCAACAATGGAATCGAGTTAATAAAATAGTCAATAGTAGTCAAGGAATATAAATATAGCTGTACAAAGCATTTTAGAAGTGTCAGATAGGTGGAACAATGGGTTTTGAGTTGATTTGATAGGATATTACCATAAATCTTCAACAGAATTTCAATTAAATTAGGTGTAAAGTTATTTAGAATTGTGTTTTCTTTAGTTTAAACTGATATACATATAAAAAAGGACTGTTTCCTTTAAGATTTCATATGAAAAGATAATTGAATACAAACATATATCATTATTTTCATCTTTAACAAAGTTAATCTGGATCTAAATCCTTTGTTTAAATAATATAAATGATATATATTCTCTATTAAAGTTAAAGATCTTCCCTGACACTCTCAAAATGCCTTGTATAAACCTTCTTAAGGACTCACTCTTGTGGTGTTGATGCCCCCACATGTGGTGCCAAATCCAATTCGATTCCTGTGCTTCCATTTAAATTATTATTCCCATCATTCGAGTGTCCACTGTGGTTGTGCAGGGAACTCGTATTGCCTGCGTTCAGGCTATTGTTGTTATTGTTAATGACGTTGCTATTGTTGTTATTGCTATTGTTATTGGAGGCTCGACCTTCGCGCAGTTGGGTGGAATACTCATTTTCGCCATAACCCTCGAAGGATTCGCCATCGGAGAGCGATGAACACTGGGACTTGGCCACGCCCGCTTGGTTTCAAAGAAAACATATAATTAGTACTGGTATTAAATTTAAGAAATTAAATACTCACCTGTGCTGGAAGGTGGACTGCTGGGTGTGGGGCTACTATCTCCAGACATTGTTTCGGCATAAAGGAAATTATTTGTATTGGCCTTTATAGATGCATTGCCATTGGGCAGTTGAATTCGAGGCATTGGGGCCATTGCGGGGAAGAATTACTGTATAGACTGCAAGGTGGAATAAAAATTGAAAGGTTTTAGTTATTTAGATATAGGCTACAAACAGACTGCAGACATGACATGCAGGTCAATAGGTCAAAGTGCTAAACTTACTTCAGCATGCAATAGGTGAAAGTTTAGCAAAAGAAAAAGAAGACCATCAATACATTGCTAATTTATTGATTTAAAGGCCTATTACTTTCTTGAAATTTATATAATGAATAGACTTGAAAGACTATCAATACAAGATGTTATTTATTTTATATTCTTAAAATATTATATTATTATTATTTAATTACACTTATTTTCCTTTTACTAAAACTCTTACAGGAATCACCACCTTCAACAAGTGTTTTTCTTCCCTTTCCGGTAAAAGGAAAATGAAAATTATCAGCCCAAAACGTCATTAACTAGCCTGCAGCCTTATTTGGGTCGAGGTTTGTTGTGGACATTATTACTTCCCTTCCTGGTCGGTCACTTTCCCTGCCCCTGCAATTACCCAAAACTTTGAGGCATGACTAAGGGGCCTAAGTACTTTTATTGAAGTTCCCGATCTAAGCCTGAGTAATTACCTATATTTCTTTCTTCTCTGTATATATATTTTTTTTTAATTGCTCGACGGTCTGCCTTGCCAGCATTTTCGGGTTTCTTTAGTCGCATTTCACGCTTTCGTTTCGATTTTTGTGACAAAATATTGGTGGGAGATGGTTGGGAGTTGGAAAAGGTAAAGTAGAAAAATCTATAAATACTGTAAGTACAATTGGTCTAGTGTTGACATGATTGATTGATATGTCAGGGCCGTTAGAGTAGAGTCTAGCTGAGAATTGGGTCAAAGTTTTATTCTTTTTGGGGATTAGGTAAAAGTATAGCAAAAATAAAAACATTAAATGGGTCAAAGAGATCACAGATGGAAAGGAAACCAAATCTATAGAGTGTTGTATGAATTTTAAGTAGTTTAAGTAATATGAAAAATATTTAAAAATATTTTAAAATATTCAAAATTATTTTAAAAATTTTTAAAATAAGTAATAAATATAAAAAAAAATATTTAAAAATATTTACAATTATTTTAAAATATTTACAAACATTTAAATTATTTAAAACATATTTTTTTAAATATTTTTAAGTATTGTTAAATATTTTAAAATAATTTAATAATTTAAAAATATTCAAAAATATTTAAAACTATTTAAAATCATTTTAAAATATTTTAAAATATTAAAAAAAGTTAAAAATATTTAAGACTATTTAAAAATACAAAAAATGATGAAGAATGTACAAACATTTATGGAATTTATATATTATTTATTTTAATTTAAATCTTTATGAAACTTGATCATTAAATAGACATTAAATATTCAATAAAGAAATATTCTATAATATTTTTAACATAAAATATTATTACAAAATTGAATTTTAGATATTATAAAATTATTTCTTTCCAGTCTTTCAATTTCTCTTCAAGTAATTCAAATTATATATCCTATATCGTTGCCAGCCACCCATCAATTTCATAATAAGCTAACCATAAGCTTGTGATTAAATATCGATTGTGTTTGCTTATAATTCGTTTTATAAACGTTTTCAGCTGGAATAATATGCAATAATGAGCATAAATATGTGATTAAACGGACGATGTCCATCGAAGAGTGAAGAGTGAAGTTCAAAAGAAAGCCAAGGAAAATAGTAAATACGCCCAACCCGACAATCAAATGAAATCAAATCAAAAATAAAACCAAAGCCGGCAAAGGAAAAACTTGGAGGGAATGCAAAAGCAAGAGAGCAACGAACCTTGGGCGAACCCCCCAAACAACAACAATTGTGCACTGAAAAAATCGATGAAAGTTGCTCAAAAAAACAAAAGCTGAAGAGACTAAACCGCACAAAAAAATTTGTTGTTTTTTTCCCTTATGCAATGGTTTTCTTTGGCTTGGGTTGCTTTGCATAATAGTTAAGAGTTGGGCGTGAAAATTGTTGTTTGTGAGAGCTGCCACCCCCTATGGTTCACATGGCTGACAGCTATGACACTTGAGTAACTATAACTTGGCTAATTTCTATAGGAGCAGGTTAGAATTATGACTGAACCCTTAATAAAGGTAACTTACTAGAGGGTTGGAATATTTTTGGGGTATTAATAATTAAGCCAGCATTTATAAATATAAGAAAATTCATGATGATTACATTTTTGAATTGATAATAATTATTTTAATTTTATTAAAATCATTCTACTTCATTCTTCTTCCTCATTATTATTTTTGTATCTCTTGGAGCTATCTGTGCCACAGTTATTTAATGCAAATGCCAAGCTGGTTTGGTCACAAAAAAAGAAGAATCAAGAAATAAATCCACAACTACCAGTTGCCAGGCAAGAAAATGCAGTTAGAAGATGAAGCCAACCCGCTCAGTTTACAGTTATTACTGCAGATGCTCAAGAGGCTTTAGCTTTTCCGAGTCTTCTCATGAATCTTCCCTAACTCCCCACTGAGATTGTAACTTATATATTTCCCATGAACACAGTTTTCTTTTGTTTTCTCAGTTTCTTGGCAATTATCGCTGCCACCCGATATGCAAAGCAAAAAATAAAAAAAAAAAATTATTTGAAATACAAATAAATGAATAAAAAATTGTGTGAAAATTTCTAAACAAAAGGAAGGCAGTAGCATCAGAAAGAGTCTACAGAGTGTCGTGATTAACTAGGCTTTTGAGCTTACGGCAGAGATTTGAGATTACAGACATGCAATAGTTTTAAGGGAATTTTTAAGTGCTGACAGCTGCATTTTTTATATTGTTTATTTTGTGGGATTATGACCAAACCTGTGACTATTTTTTATAGTTTTCTAAGACAGTTACACAATTGTTTAACTATAAAAATTAAGGAATATTTATGGGAATGAGTAGGAATTAAATTAATGTTCAATAAATAAAAAAGTAGAATACAATACTCTCACAAATATTAGAAAATAATATTCACTTTATATTATTTTGATATAGAAATTTAATTTTAAAAATATTTAAACAATTACTTTTATCAAAAAACCAAGTCATAACTAAAAAAAATGAACATTATATCAAAAATATTTTCGACGCATTCAATTCTTAATGTCTTAATTACTTTTAAAAAATATCTAAACAATTACTTTCATCAAAAAACAAGTCACAAACCAAACCAATTCATTCAATTTTAAAATCTTAATAAAAATTTCCATTAATAAATCACTTGTTTGGCTCTCTCAATTATGTTTTTATCCAATCTTATCGCATATATGCATATCACCCCCCCAACATCTGCATTAACCAAGTGACCCAATCCAGCCTTGAACCATTTCTCAGGCCACTTTCGATTCATTAAAGGCAACAGCAACAATGGAAGCATAAAAAATGAGGCACTGCAGTTCATAAGGCCAGACCATTAGCCATATGCTAAAGATCAAAAACCCGATCCCGCCCCCACCAAAAACTGAACCAAAATGCATATACAACATACATATATGTACATGTTCAACTCGATTTGGAATTGTATAATTATAGCTCAGAGTGTGTGCTGTGTCTGACGGCATGCAACTGAGTTTGGGTTTTATTTTTATTAGATGTTATCCGAGACTTGACCAGCTGCCCGATCCACTTTATGACTAATAAACTTGAACTTGTGCGAGTGAAAACAATTGAAAAATTGAATTGGTGAGAGAACACACAGAGTGAGAAAAGAGGGAAACGGAGTCTATATATTCTAGGCCGCCCAATTACTTGTCATTTGTTGTTGTCACACATGTGTAATCCATCTCATTCATCCATTTCAAATACATAATTAAACAGATGTTATGTATTTCTTGTCGCAATAATACTTGGGGATTATGAAACCGCACGTACCAAACTATCAGATACAAGATACAAGATACAAGAAGCTCATTAAGGAATCCCCCAGACACATGGCGCAAAAAGGGGCGAAGTTCGAATTCGTTTCGAATTTACCATTTCAATGGAACAATTTCGAAAATTCTTATGAAAAATCCCGAAATGAAGGCGAGGAAAGTGCGTGGAGATTTATAGAGATCCTTTTTCTCAAGTAGCAACAGATGCCTTGATTTTTTTAACTACCTGCTCGAGAGATCTCAAGGCGGCGATAAGCAGCAACAGCTGTTTTTTGGGCAGATTTTCAATTAGTTTTGCTTGAGTCAAGTGGTGAAAAATATATAAACATCTTTGGAGAGGTATTTCGCTTATCTAACTCTGCCAAATCTCCATGAAATAAAAAATGCCATGTGGCAGAAAAACATACGTGTTTAACGCTTGAAAGCGAGAATTTCATTAAACCGTAATGCATTTCAAATGTAAAACGTGCTTTGGGATGAATTTTCAGCGGTGGAATAATCAATTGGTTGAGTTACTAAAACAGAACAGAAAAAGTGTCAACAATTTTATACATATAAAAAATAAAATCAACAATTCTAATTAACATTAATGAAATAAATTATTCTGTACAAAATTTTCCTAAATTCATTTTTCCTATTTTCTATAGAGAGAAATATAAATATCTAGACATTTTGGCATACCTTAAAAGGGAAGAATTTCTAGACATTATCCCACAACAATTATTATCTCTTATTTGAGGGCCTAATCTACTTTTTTATCTACCAAATTAGCCCCCAAAGTCTCTCAGTAAACGCCCCTCAAAAGCAAACAAATTTAAACACACAAAAAACACAAACGCCCACAAAAAAACAGACTCAATGAAATAACAATCAAGGAAAGAGACAGAAACCAAATAGATTGAAGCAATATTGATGAATTATACACTCCTGCCCACAATTATACGACACCCCGAAAACTTTAGTTTCGACCCTCGTAGGAAAGTCGGGAAGCATATTACAACAAATTCAAGTATGCAGAATTAAAGCTTAATGAATTCTGCTTAAAATATGATTTTTTTATCTCTGATTGGACCACCCGTTTTTAAATAGCGTTAAAAAAAGCAGAAAAGCCCGATTTTTGCCATGCCTGAAACTGTATCA